ACGCGATACTATATAAATATAAAAAGAAAACGGAATAAAAAAAATTTTAATAAGAAAAGTTTGCAATTTTAAAAATGAATTTTGCTAACTATAACAGGTGGTGGTCATCAATCGATGTGTAATTAGCCAATAAAATGGTAATATCTCATGAATTCGCCTATGAAACTATTCTACCGAAAAAAATTCCTTAGTAAATTTTGCATATACAGTATATAACACCTTGCTAAAATCCCAGGCCTAGCACTAACCTAAAGTAAATAAAATGAAATCTTTTTATTTTTGCTTTATCGTTATTGGCCAATTACACACCAACGATGATCACCAACGGTTATTTGTAGTTAAATTCTAAAAAGATAGTAAACTTACGCGGCTAATGTTGGTGTTTTACCCAAAAGTCTATATATTTGTTTGTTCCTAATTTTCTCATCTCTAATAAATAGATCTGATCCCTGTTTGATAATTTATAATATAATAATATGATAAAATAATAAATTATAAATGAAATAAATTATAAATGATAATTAATGAAATAACACATACTTCTAAAGCCGGATTAGCATCTGGATGAAAAGTACTCATGGCAGAAATACCGCTGATAAACATTCCCATGGGATGGGCGTCATAGTTGAACTGGCGCATTAATTCAGATACGTTGAAATGTACAAATGTATGATGCATGATTTCATGAGAGAAATATGCGTATTGTTGTTTTGACGGAAGTTCGCCATAAATAAGAAGAAAGGCAACTTCAAGGTAAGTGGACTTTTCCGCCAGTTGCTCAATCGGGTAGCCACTTAAGAAAAACAAGTATGAAATACCAATATTATATATGAAAAATATATATTATTACTTATATTATCTTACCGATAGCGTAAAGCTCCAGTATCACCATTAATGTATGTAATCTTTGAATATGCGACAGCAGTGTTTTGGAATGCTAGATTTATAATATTAAATGTAAGTTTTTAACGTATGATGAAATAATCAATCAAAAAGCTAATTACCTGGATCGAATACTCTATTAATACAGTAATTTAATTAAATAATTTAAATTAAAAACCTAGAGTACTAAAAATGAATAAATAAATATATATAGAATAACACGTTGACGAACTTCAATCCTTTTCCACTTTCATCTTCTTCACGGGAACCTGGCACCGGATCAGAATGTATTTCCTTAAATTTAAGGGCAGGTATTGTATTATTTGTTATTGGAATTTCATAAAGTTTATTAGTTCGGTTGTCTAATACGGTCAAGGACTGTGTGTTGGTACTGAACAAAAAAAAAAAAAAAAAAAAAAAAAAAAAAAAAAAAAAAAAAAAAAAAAAAAAAAAAAAAAAAAAAAAAAAAAAAAAGGATAATATTAGTAATATTAAGGTTATTTATTCTACAAACAAAAGTAAAATATTTACCTTCTTGGTAAAACAACAACAGACGTTGGTTGTGCTTGTACTTTTCCATCGGATTTAATGGGAGTAGGTAAAATCCATGACACACCCGACGATTTATCTGTCAAGACAAATTCGCTTTCTCTTAAAAAAAAACACACACACACATTTCAGAGTAATTTATTTTTAAAATCCTCTTTACAAATATTTTACAATTAATGCTCACCTTGTAGTTTTACTTGATTCTTCGTCTTTATGCATTATTAGATGTATGGATGAAATATTTTCGTATACGATATAGTGCAATTATATAATTTCCAAGTCTATATGTAGATAATCAACATTTTTAGTTTTCATATGATAATTCTAGATCTCCAAATCTTTATCGTTATCATAAATTTGATCATCTATCTGTAAGAACACGTGATCCAATGAAGTGTTAGTTAAATTTGTGATGGAATAGTTCGAATTATCTGTTATCCGGTTTGAAGAGGATATCCAAATTGGCGGATTAACTATACTTCGCAACCAATTGCAAGATTAAACGTAACGTGAAATTTTTAAGAAAAAATTCACGACTAATCAATGCAGTCATTTGTGTAATAATGGATTTATTAAAGTTTCACTTATCGTTATTATTATTATTAGAGTTTATCGGTTTATCATTGATAACGATAAATTATTTCTTATCACTAACGATAACGATATTGTAATATTATTGATAAGATTAATTAGGCAGTGTTGTACATAGCCTTAAATATTTTAGTAATTGAAATATAATTATAAACATTTTTGTTTAATAGAGTAAATTAATTTATCCGTCATCTTACTATGATCAGATTGCCAAATAACTATATAGTATGTACTGTATGTAACAATGCCTAATCTTATCTCCTAACCAGTTGCGATTTATTGGATAGATTGCCCCAATACAAAGTAGGAAGAGACTCACGTAAAATATTTTTTTGCGAGGACAAGTTTTAGTAGACTTCGACGCAAAATAAGTTTATTACTAATTGTTATTTGAGATCTTTGATAATTTGGATTTTATGAATAAAATTTAGTGCCAATTTGAATAAAGTTTTTTATTTTATTTTATAGAGTTCACTAGCCTCTATGAAATAGAAAAAAGTTTATTCAAATTGAATTGCTGGATCGCCGGTAAATTTTAATTTGATTCATAATATCTAGGAGGGTTATTTTACTAGCAAAGATTAGCATTGCGAACATTCGATCTGATTACTTCTTAAAGCCCCGAGTTACACTACATAAAAATGTTTTTTTGAGTAAATCTTACTATGAAAAATCATACTAATGTTTTACGTATACGTACGTATTATTTACTTAGAAAACATTACCGTTACGTAGAAAATAAAGTTATAAAAAATTATTATTTAATTTTTTTTGGTGCAACTGCGCGGTTATACCCAGTGTTGTCACGTTACTATGTCCACAGATTTTTTGCCTTGTCCACAAATATTATAACTTTATACAAAATTTAGATATTTATAACGCCATGTTATATAACACCATACTACGTATTTAATATAAAAATCTATACTCTTACCCTAATCTAGTTTACATAATTATTATATAAGCATAGGTGTTATGAATACGTATAATATTTCAATTTAGTGATTACCATTTTTACTTAATTAATCTTTTTTGTGTAACATGTCCATACTTTGCTGATACGTATCATATCCAGATATAGGATAACTTTCTCGTGATTGGTCGTCACATGAAATTGAATAACACGTTATTATTGGCTAATTGTAAGGCATGTGACAATCAGCCAATAATTACTTGGTTTTCATAACATGAAATTTGGCTTTTTTTTTACAAAAACCCACCCGGTTATTACAGCTGTTTTCATAAATTCTGGGACATCTGGCCGGTTCGATAAGTTTGTGATTCGGTAGTGATAAACTTTTGATTTGGATGTGAATTACTGTAATTCACATCCAAAT